CAATAGGATTAGATCATGTTTTTTTTTTCCTTTTGTACAGGATACTGTCAACGAGGAGATGGGAGAGGACGGGGGGGGGGGGAGAATAGAGGGGAGGAAATTAGGAGGTACAGTGGGATTAACCCACATGGGGATTTTTTTTTTTTTCAGGGTAGTGCCAAAGAGAAGACGAGATGAGGGTGGGTGGGGGTGGGGGTAAGGGATAGAGGGAATGGGGAAGGGAAAGGAGGATTAGTGGAAGTTTAGTGGGATTCCAGTGGGATTATATCATATGTTTTTTTTTCTTCTTTTTCTTTCTCTTTCTGAGTACTATAAAAGAGGAGACGAGTGAAGAGGGGGAGGAGGAGGGGAAGACGCAGAGGGGATTAGGATTTGGGGAAGTGAAAGGGATTACAGTAGGATTAAGTAATACGGGGATTTTGGGATTTATTTTATTTTCTCTCAGGATAGGGACAATAAGGAGACGAGAGGAAAAGGATAAGAGATGGGAGGGGGCAGAGAGAGGGGGGAAGGATTAGGGGGGAAGTTAAAAAATTCCATTGGGATTATATCACAGGGGATTTTATTTATTTATTTTTATTTCGAGTTACTGTAAAAAAGGATTCGGGAGGATTCCAGTAGGATTACATCATAGGGGATTTTTAACATCTCAGGACACAACCAAAGAAAGACGAGAGGAAAGAGTAAGGAGTGTGGGGGGGGGCGCACAGGGGAGGGGGGATCTGTGAGTTAACTTAGGAGGATTCCTGTGGGATCAAGTCGGTTGAGGATTTCTTCTCCCTCTCGGTTTAAAGGGGAGGGGATTCCTGCACGACTCCCATACTTTAATTGACTAATCACACGCTTTGGAGTTTTAAGGAGTTTTAAGTAGAGATTTTTTTCTGACAAGAGTATGCGTCATGTTTTCCTAATGTCAATTCAGTAAAAAAATAAGAAAAAAAAATCTATCTATCTGTCTATCTATCTATCTATATATATACCATTCTTGAAGGGAGTTTTGATATGATCATCCTATTAAAACATCTGTCATCATTAATTATATAGGGATATTTCTCTTTATTTATTTATTCATTGCTATTATTATCAATGTGATCGTTATCATTTTTTTTTCATATCATTATCTAATCTGGTTATTATTACAGTCACTTATCATCTTCATGGAATCATGTAATCATCATTATTATTATCATTCAATATTTTCTTCAAAGTAATAACCTTATACATATCGTCTGTACAACATATCACTATTGATTGCCAAATAAACAACACTATAATTGACTTAATGGTTAATGGTTAAAAACAAATGTGCTAGATATCAAAGTCGCATAGCACATAGCACATATCATAATTTACTTTTAGTCATTTTCAATTTGATTCCCAGATATTTCTTCTTTTCAAGTGACTTAACTTTTAGAAATAATCTGAAGAAATAGTAGAATTTTTAAAGCGCGTTGAGATTTGTAGTACAATGAAATTATTCTTGACATGTCAACTAAATAGCACAAATTATATTATATTTGTTATTTACATTTGCTGCCGTAAGTAAAATTTGAGATCTTTTTAAAATATAATATGTAGGTTTGTTCCATTATGATCATTATCATTATTCTATTCACTGTTGTTTAGAGCAATATGAGGTTTGGATTCATAGTATCTTGATCTTTAAATCTTAAACGAAGGATGGAGTGTAAAGTCCGGAGAGTTTCTGTTCATACTGTCACAGATTTTTTTTCTATCTGTAACTTTTACACGTACATGATGTACACCGCGACATAATTATACAAGTCCCCATATTATATATATAAGAATACCCTTTTAATTTTGCCCTCATTTTCGAAATACAAATATCCATCTATAATTAATAGACAAAATAAGACGTATCCCCCCCTCCCCCCCAAGATGAAATTCCCCCAAACCAATACTTTAATCTAAGGGCGTCTTCTGTAGCGTCCTTAACTCTTAATGCCGTATTTAGTTTAATCCTAATCCACCGTGTCCGTACCGAAGACGACACTCTCCGCTGCCACACGGCGCGACAATAATGTTCAGTAAAAACTGTCGTACTCATTATTCTATCACCACCGTTATCATTTAAACATGTCGGGGAGAAGAGAAATGTCGCGCGTGAAATTCGCTCTTTTGGGAGATTTCATGTTTCTTTTTTCTTTCTTTCTTTTTGTAATGTCATGTTTTTGGTAATCATATTTAAGAAACTATTTGAGACATCTCTTAGGTTTCGAAATATCTATTACATATTATATAATGTGCATTTCATGAAACTGAGACTTTTACTAATGTTTTCTTAATGCTAATTATCTTATGCCTTTTTTATCTCTGAACTGCTTTGCCTCCTAATTGCTTAAAGTGTTCTGTAAATAATAATATCAACTTCTCAGATGCTTCTGAAGACCACCTTTTCCTTCCCTTCATCCCAGTCATACCTACATGATTGAAGACAAGGCATTAAAAACTTATTCATATTATTAATCAATTATGCCTC